TTGACTTTTGTCTTTCAGTTTGTATGGCAAATATATGTTATTGTGCTCCAATCTTAACAACTTATTCGAATATTACACAGCCTTAGATAATAAGCCGTTCCCATTTTCGTGAATCTATCTCGTCAAATGAAAAAGTTTTCCATACAAGAACTTGATTTTGACCGATCAGTTTGTATGGCAGCTATATGAGGTAGTAGTCTAATGTCGTGACAAATATGCACTTCTTGGGGAGAAAAGGACGTGTGCAAAATTTCAGATCGATATATCATCAAATGAGGGACTAGTTCGCGTATATACAGACATACGGTGGACATGGCTAAATCGACTCAGCTGATCATTTATATGTACATATTTATATTTTAAAGGAGGTGTTACTAACTTTGTGGTACACTTAATATACTCTATTCAGGGTATAAATACTATTTATTAATTAGCCCTGTAAACGCCAGATCGTCATATAACCAATTTTTAGCTTAATGCAATTAAAGTGTTGTGTCTGTATTGCTGAAATCTGTTTTCCAGTAGCTAAACGCCAGCTGTGAAAATATTTACAATTTATTGACAACTTAGTGTATATATGTACACATACCGATAAATATGTTTATAAATATATTGTTATATAAAAATGCTTTTACAACTTAGTGTATATATGTACACATACCGATAAATATGTTTATAAATATATTGTTATGGAGAAATGCTTTTACAGCCATTTTTATGTATAAGTATATAATTATACACGAAGAAATAGAATTCCGTTATGAGTTTTTGAAAACCCGTCAAGCTGTGGGTAAAAAAATGCAAGCAAAACACACCTTAAATTGTACATGGAAGCAATTTAAACTGGGTTAGTAAGCAAATTATTTAAACATAAATGGCTCTCGACCCGCCGAAATGAAGCTGAAACTGATGAAATGTTTTGCCGCCAGCTGCGTGAGATGCTTGTGTTGATAGATGCAACAAAAACAGGCTGCAACACTCAACACTAAATTGTAAACACTATCCATTGAATTGGCCTCAAACTGCAGGCCACTTAGTCATAACAACTTTAGCAGCGACTCAACAAGTTGGAAAAGTGAAAACACTTGAAAAACTTTTGTGGTGGTCGAACTACAAGCGAACTACCCATCCCAGACGACAGAGATGTGAGAGCTGTGAACTTGGAAAAACGCCGAATAAAAAGTGGAAGACGTAAGCCAAAAAGCCAGATACTGCAGCAAGAGTGAATGAGAGTGGGAGAGGAAATACAAATATGTGAGGCAAACGGAGGCGAAACCGCTGAATGCCTGCATTTAAGCGGGTCTAATTGAGATAGTACAGCAACAAGTTGACGCGACAAATTGGTGTGAAATTTTAATTTCTATTTCATCTTATTTTCACTTCTTTCGACGATTTTTTGCACAAAGAACGCGTGTTTAAATAAACTGCGGCGCTCCAAAATCTTTACAACACGCTTTTCTTTAGATATTAAGTATGTATACTCGTATATCGTTAATTTGTTTGTTAATGTTTGTATGAGGTTTTCTTTGATTGCGCTGAATATCATGACAGATGTTAGTAATGGTGTTGTGTTAAGAAGAAGTACACTAGTCGTTTCTCCGCGGAGGTGGAGAATGTGTCGGCTAAGCGCTTTCGTGACAGCCGCGTAATTGACGGCAATTGAATAAGTGAGTGATACATTCAAGAGCAGTCATTTAACATGCATTTTTTGATCTTGCCGCCAAAAGTGTACAACTGAACTTTGGACGGCATGTTCACACTCATAACCGAGTTATTTCTGACTATCGGTGATCAGATGTGAAAATTTGGGTGCTCTTTAAGCTATCAAGTCACTATTATAGGTGGATATAGTAACATACTGGATATATTTGAAAATGAAAATAATCAGGATTGACTAATTTGTTTCAGGATCATTTGTTTTTAAACAAACTAATAAAATGAAAACAGGCGCCACTCAAATATCAAAAAATGTGCTGTACTCCAACGATGAAGTTTCGAACTGGTCTTCCAATTCTAAATTCTGTAGAAGAGAAGCAAAATAAAATAAAATAAATAAAAGCTGATGTAATAGATTTTTATTGTAGTAAAGTTCAGGAAATTTACCTAAAGTGGGAACAAAATGTCTGTTCAGCTTGTAATGTTAACTCTACTGTTAACTTTATAAACGAGGTGTAAAAAGGATGTAAACAATTTAAGACTCAATAACTTAAAATTAATTTTTTGGCGGCGCTCTTGACAGATTAGGTCAAAAATAATCTCTAGTCTTACTATTACACATAAACTATCTTCGACTCGCCAAGCGTTACCCTCAGATGCTCAAATTAACGGTCAGCACTTGTGATGAAAAATTCTTTTCTTCGTGTTAAAAAATGTTACTATAAAAAATTACTATAATTGATTTTATGTCTTAAGTTTTGAATATACAAGAAACAAGTAAGGAAGGGCTAAGTTCGGATGTAACCGAACATTTTATACTCTCGCAAAGTCAAATGGTATACTCGTTTGAGATTTCTTTGTGGATTGACTGATATTTTCGGTACAAGGTCAACGATAGGCACTGGGGTCCACATATTTAGTACTTAGGGGCTTGAAAAGTTTTGGTTCGATTTAGACAATTTTTGGTCACAAGGTGGCATACTTTAAACGTATTATTCACGATTATACCCCGATATAATCATTGTTGCTTGATATGCATGGTGGAAAGTGAAAGAATTAGATGGAATTAAAAATGGTGTTATATGGGAAATAGGCGTGGTTGTAGTCCGATTTCACCCATTTTAGCACTATGACATAGAAATATAAAAAGAACGTTATACACCGAATTTGGTTGAAATCGGTTAAAAGTGGGTGGCGCCCACGGACTAATATCGAACGCGATTCCTATAAAGTCATCTCAAACCATCCCAGAGATAAAATTTAATGTCTCTGGCGTGTTTAGTGCTTGATTTATCGCGCTTTTAGTAGTTTTTAACAGTACTGTTATATGGAAAGTGGGCGGAGTTGCCACCCGATTTCCACTATTTTCACACTGTAGGTAGTGATTCTAAAAACATTTGCTTCCAATGAATTTTGTTATTATAGCATTAGTGGTTTAGGAGATATGCATATTAAACCTATTAGAGCGGGACTACGCCCACTTAAAAAAATTTTTTAACTGCAGATGCTCCTCTCTAATGTGATCCTGTGTACCAAATAACAGTCTTGTATCTTATTACGGAGCTTAGTTATGGCAATTTATTTGTTTTTGATTAATGGCGTTTTGTGGGCGTGGCAGTGATTCGATTACGCCCATCTGCAATCCAACCGTCTCACAGTACCAAGAAACATGTCTACCAAGTTTTATAAAGATATTTTTTAAATTTTTACTCAAGTTAGAGCTTGCACGGACGGACGGACGGACGGACAGACAGTCACCCGGATTTCAACTCGTCTCTTCATCCTGATCATTTATATATATATAACCCTATATCTAACTCGATTAGTTTTAGGTGATACAAACAACCGTTAGGTGAACAAAACTATTGTACTCTGTAGCAACAGGTTGCGAGAGTATAAAAAAAAGGAATTTATTTTTTCATTTGTCATTTCAACCATTCATGATAGTAAAACTGATCTAAATTATGCAAGACAAAACTTGGTAGCACTGAAGATCGCGGCTATTCCACTTTAATGAGGTATTCTTACGGTACGGTAGGTATACTTTCTTGTACGAATTCAACTCGACAACTTTTTTGCTTTTACATGTAATTTTTTTGACAAGAGAGCAGAAGCGAGCAGAGAAATGGCGTATCGAAGACAGCTATCATATATTTAATTTGATGAAAGCGCTTACCAGCTTTAAACGATTTAAAATATCTTTGGATTTACCAACATATGCAAATAAAATTTTATAATTTTATACCCTGAACAGGATATATTAAGTTTGCCACAAACTTTTCAAGTTTTCTAAAACCCAGAAGGAAACGTTGGAGATCCTATAAAACATATTAATACATATATAGATGATCAGCGTGATGAGAAGAGTAGTCATGTCCATGCCATGTCATATATGCGAACTAATTTTTTGAAACATCGATCTGAAATTTTACATCCGTCCGATTCTTACCAAGAAGCCGCTCATTTGTACAAACTGAACGATTAAAATCAAGTGCTTGCATGGAAAACTCTTGTCAAGGTATCTTCATGAAACTTGGCATAGATTATTATTTAGGCATTGCTATAATCTTAAAGCTTATAGCTGCCATCCAAGCTGAACGATAAAAATCAGAATAAAGATCTTTTTCTACCCTTTTGTGCTATAAAAATGCACCTGTGAGGGGTATTATAGCGTTAGTGCAACCGAAGTTAACGTCTTTTATTGTTTTTGTTTTTTAATATTTGTTATTTACTTAACTATCTTTGCTAATATAGTTGCCTGAATGTGTAGATGGCTTTCACATACAATAAAACCACTTGTATGGTCAAGCGATTAACTCTCTGCTTGTTGGTTGCATGTATTATTAATCAATCGAATTTGTTGGTGTGTTAGGCATTAAACACCGGTTTCTATCACTTTGATCCATTCAAATATTTCAATGTTTATGTGGAATTTTTCACACTTTACAGCTTTTTATGGAATTTACTGAATAAGGATTAAAACCAAAACCGTAAATAAGTTTATTATGAAACTCCTTGATCAGTAATTTAATCAGTAATTTTATACAAAATGGAATAGAGAAAGTAGATTTGCAGTGTGTTCAACATCATTATCAAAGCAATTTATTGTTATGTTAATTTTATGCATTTCTATTGAGTGTTAATAACTAAATTCTGTGAACTGATAGAATGGAAACATGTTTTATTCTTGCTAATTTCAATTATCGCATTTGCTTATGAAACCAGTTGAGTCATTGTAGATATTCTAGAATTGTTTTGTACAAGTACAAGTTTAACTTATCTTCGAACTTTTATGTTATTATCCTAAGTTGATTATTTATTAACAATTTATTTATTTCTTTCAGCACCTTTTTCGGCCACAAAAGTTTTAATTTTTAGAGGTAAGTCAGTATCAGTCGTCGAATCATATCACTTATATGCAGAACTGCATATATACTTACTTTCACTAAATAATTCTATTATTATTTATATTATATTATTATTTATTTATACTCTTTTTATTGTATCTAAAGCTATTTTTCTTTCCTAAAAAAAAATACGTAGTAAAATTTCTACTCATTTGCATTTGGTACACTCCGTAATATTCATAAGAATCACACAAAACTAGTTTTATATAACTCTGTTGGTTCTGCTGTTGTATTTTATCTTCTTTAATATTTTAGACTCTGGAGCTTCACCGGATATTTTCTAGACAACAACCTACCTTCATTTCTGTCTTCATACTCTAACATAATACTACAGTACTATGTTATATATTTTTAGATAATATTTTCAAAAGCTGAAGCGCTAATAGTAAAATGCATGTTACAGAACCCCCTCAATGGTATACCGCATACAATTATTTCTCACCTTAAACGATATATATGTATAAGTTAAAACACATATGTGGATATATAGTTTATATAAATATATATAGTATGTACGTATTGGTTACCTAGAGATACATATATGTGTCGTTATAGGTAAAACTGATGAGTTTGATTCAAATTTACATTCGTATATGTGCCACACAAATGTATTTGCAATATTTCCTAGTTCAATTTATTTTCGTTTTGTTACCATTCTATAATTGTATAAAACAACTCACACGCATATGTGATTTCGCTTGCCGGCTTTTAGTCGTAGAAGAAATCTTATCAGATCTTATCAGTTCGCGAAAATATTCAGCAACATACCTCGGTATGTATAGTTCATGTAGATATATGAACATTAATGTATATAGTAGGTCTGTTTTTAGATGTATAAAATTTTCCAGGAATAGCTGTCAAAGCAAACGATGGTTCAACAAGACACATAGCGCGTGAGACCATATTGAGATGGATAAACCGACTACGACTGAGCAGATGCCAACTTTCCAAAAAAAAAGGAAGAATTAAGCTAGAAAATTGACCACTTAATTTTTATTTGTTTTTTGTTTTTGTATACCTCTAAAAATACACCCTATACATTTGTATTTATTGATATGCGTTGTGTGCATTTCATATGAATGGAACAGGATATTGCTGTTAATCAACTCAACGCTCAGTGGCAACAAATAAAGTTGCAAATTGCTTATCAGTACTTGTTTCTTTATATATTTTCGCATATAAATATAAAATAAAGTGATTCATAAAATTGGCAGAAGGCAGGTAACATTTTTTTACAAACGTGAAGTATAAAAGTGATTTGCACTTTGAGGTGAAATGAAGTTTCCTCATATGTAGTGATAAGCTAAATTGACGCTTAAACTAAAGTATACCAGCAATTGTGCTTACCATCTATAGGAAAATATATAGATATTTATGTACATAAGTAAAGGGTGTTTATTTAGACATGTGGCTATGCCAAGAATTTAGCTTTATTATAAATAAGGGGTTTGCCATTATGCTTTAAAAATTATTTCCGCCAAGTGACCGCCGTTGCTGGCTCGAATAAATTCCAGCCGAAAGACCAAATTTTCGACCACTTTTTGTGCCGTATGTCAGCAATGACGCAAATAATATTCTCTTTCAAGGCGTCAATCGTTTAGGGATTATCTGTGTAGAAAAATAGTCCAGCAGTTTAATAGCAAAACTTTCCTTCAATATGTTGATGATTTCGCTGGTTGTAGGGCATTTAGCGCCATCTTGTTGGAACCAAAGGTTGTCCACATCAACAACCTCGAGTTCCGGCACGGAAAAATTAATAATCATGGCTCTATAGCGTATCCCATTGACTGTAACATTATGACGGTTTCATTTTTGAAGAAATATGAACCAATGATTTCTTCTGTCCACAGAGCATAGCAAGCAGTAACTTTTTGAAGATTTAACGGTTTGTGGATTACCATCACTCCAAATTTTAACAATTTTGTTTAACGTATCCATTCAACCAATTCTTGCACGAGTTGGATTTTGTTAGCTCGCAATCCTTCCGAAAAATTGTCCATAAAGTGGATGGGCATACGACCAGACTCATTAGAAGTTTCTCGAAGAAGACTCCACAGTAGCAATAGCGTTTTCGGAGCGCACTATATGGCGTCTCTGATGGTGCGCATTATCCACTAGAGTATATGTGGTGCGAAACCAAATGTTTGGAGACCAACTTCATAAAAGGTATTGCCTCATTGAAAACCACACGTCTAAAAAACACCCTCTACATAAGTATATGCTAATAATAGCAGTCACATAAAATGACTTTTGAGGATTTGTATGCAAATGTGGCGTGATATGACGTTGAATATTTGTGAACATGTTTGTGTAACCTAAAATGTACCGTTTTACTCATGTTCTTGCTTTATGACGACAACCTGTAATAGAAACCTTTCCCAATCATTTACAAGGCATAAATTGCCCTCGTTGTCAATGTATACTAACCTGTAACTTTCATATTTAAATGTATATGAATCTACGTTTGGAAAAAAGTATGTCTGTACTTTTTAAAAGTTAATATGAGTGCTTTTTAAAAGATTACATCCTGAGTACTCTCCATAGGATACAATTGGGAAAGGATTGGTCTCAAAAACATATCTTTCAGAAGCAATTAGGTTTTAATTAGTCTTTTCTTTCTTCTTTAGCATTACAACTATGGATCGGTCTGGGCTGAGAACACAAAACTTCGCCAATTGTACATCCCAAGTACAGACAGGTCTCTTTGTATTTGGTCCTTCAATTGGATGGATGGGTCTCGAATCGAAGGAGCTTTTCGCTGGAGCATCGTCTTCCATGGGTATAACATGACCTAGTCAGTGCATTCGTTGGATTTTTATGCGCTTAACTATATCTATGTTACCGTAGAGTTCATGCAGTTCTTCTCGATGCACATCTTCTTCGATGCTCATCGCGCACGTCGACGCCTCTAACAGACTTGCGGAGAACAGTTCTTTGGAGTGCTTCAAATACTTCTTCATTTCGGTTCGTTATCATTCATGTTTCTGCGCCGTATAATAAGGCGGGGATGACAAGAGACTTATAGAGCGTTGTTTTTGTTCGTCGAAATAGGGATCTGTTTCTCAATTGAGTACCAATCTCACATTAGCACCCGTTTACAAGAGGTATTATGCGCTTGATCTCCAGGCTTAGATGGTTGGTGGAAGTTATGCTGGTTCCGAAATAGACAGTCGTTCACTTTCTAAAATTTATAGCTGTGCTAACAGTGTCGTACTTCCAAAGATAGATTTAAAAAAATTCCGGGTAGCCTTTTGGGTTTAAAATAATATAATTTGTCTCTTCATAGGGCTTGGTCGAACAGAAGATCACAGTTTCATCCATTTAAATATTATTAAATAGATCAAAAGTGCCATTGCCACATGTTCCTTTGCGACTAATCTCGGACTTTTACCGGACCAGTTGCATTTTTAATGGATAGCCGCACCGCTACAATCGACATTGCGGTAGACAGGCAAAAGGTGTCGACAGCTTGGAAAGGGATGTTTAGATTGCTTATTTACATATATACACATATATAAAGGTATTTTGAAACAGGTAATATCAGCACAAACTCCTAGGGAACCGCTGAATATATTATACATATACATACGAGGATATATATATATATGTATATATATCCAGTATACATGCGTATGTATTTTTCGCGATAGGGAGATAGATGTAACCGTTTTTGACAGCATGTTGCTCTCCTTTTTGCCTCAATTTATTGAGTAAAATTTGAATATTCTTCATGCACGCCATTATTATCAGCATCTCCCCCACTCATCCGATTTTCAGTTGATGAGCCACCTTCTGTGTGGATTGAAAATATTCCGCTAAATTTGCATAAAATTTGATTTTTATGGCAAGAAACTTCTAAATTGAGCACGTCATGCGAATATGTGATGGCACGTGATATTGTTGGAATATTCATATTGTTGTTTTTCAGCTTTAACAAAGAAAATTTGAAACTGCTATTTGTCACAGAATTTCCTCTTTATACTTATGTGCGAATGTTTATGAATATGGCACGAAAAATTACTCAATAATACGAGTATGTGGAAATATTTGTTTTTATATATAGACACAATAAGGGCGATTATGGTAGAGGTACAAGTAAGCCTTTTTCAATAGATTAAATACCGTAAATTCTTCATTGATAATACCACTGGTACTATCAGCTGGTATGAACCTAAGGCAATTAGAAAATACAAAATTTCACTTACATGGTGATGAACTATGATAAGTAGTTTCTCAAAATTTAAATAGTCAAAAATATAAAAAAAACTGCTGCCCCGAAATTATAATACCCTTCACAAATATAAATGATTTCATACAAGAACTTGATTTTGTTCGGTCAGTTTGTATGGCAGCTACAGTGATTTCATCTGAACAATTTTTCCAGAGATAGTGCAGTTGCTTTTGACAATAAATTCAAATTTCCTGAAGATATCTCTAAATAAAAAAGTTTTTCATGTATGGATATAATTTTGATTATTCAGTGTGTATGACAGCTATATGCTACATTTGTCATATATCCGCGATTCTGACAAATGAGTAGCTCATTGGGGAGAAAAGAACGTATGCAAAATTTCAGATTGATATCTGGATCGTACACAGACAGACGAACAGGCAGACGGAAATGGCTAAGTCGACTCAGCAAGTCTTGGTTATCATTTATACCCGTATATATATTTTATAAGGTCTCCGCAGTTTCCTTCTGGGTGTTACAAACTTTTAATTTACCTTGTTCAGGGTATAAAAAAATCTGTTATGGACCAAACTGTTTTTAAACAACGAGTAAATTCATATTTCGAAAATTTTTGGCTTGTACTACAAAGAGGTACTGGGTTTGAAGTTTAAAAATATGCAGTTCCTCATAAGAGTCCATCGGTGTGTGCCACTGGTATCAGCTATACCAATTCCATAAACTCTAAGCTCTCTGGTTTGGGTAGTAAAAAGAGAAATTCAAAGGAATTAGTTCGAATATATTC